AGATATTCAGGATAATCTCGTATCATGTAAATCAATGAGGTTTCACAGATATGAGAGTAAAACTTATATGTTAATATGGGTTCTAAAGGCCCACCATTAAATTAACTCTCCTTTTATAATCTAAATTAATAATTTATTTAAGTTTCATGTGAAGTTTCAAGAATCTCCGTAGAGACTTAAATTAATCACCTCATTGTGGGGATAATAAGTCCCCACAGATGTAGTGATTATCAATTTCTATAATAAATAAATAATTTTTTGTAAATAATTATATAATACACAATTTAGAAAAATTAATTAATCAAATTAATGTATTTAAATTGTAACCATATTTACTGAATATATCTTTTAGTCATGTGAGATTTTTGAATCTCCGTAGCTTCTAAGATCATCATGTTATCATAGAATTAATAAAACTCGGCAATATAACTTAACTTTTTAAAATATATACACATACATATTATATATAATAATTAATTAAATCAATTAATTAAATTTAATTCTTTTATCGTGTAAGATTTTGAAATCTCTGCAGATATTAGAGATAATCATATTACCACACAAGTTAATAAGGCTTTGCAGGTATGATGATTAAAGTTTCTTTGAAACATGCATATCACAATTAAAATATATTTTTAACACTTAAATATACATAAGAATATAAATAAATAAATTAAATTTCTAAATTCTTTATTGTGTGAGATTTCAGAATCTCCGCAGATATTTAGAACAATTGCATTACCATATGAACCAATAAGATTCTGCAGGTACTGTGATTAAAATTTTCAATCATAAAACATAAAGAAAAATATTTTAAACCCTTTCCTTTCTTCATTCTAAAAATTTAAAAATGGAGAAAATAATAAAATTAAATTACTTTTTACAATTTAAACACACATATCAAATTTTAGAAATCAGTTTTTTTTTTCCAAATGGTGAATTATTTCTAATTAATTTCTCTTCAAAAAAAGTTTTCACCAACAACTTTTAAGCCTAAAACTACGTGGACTTTGATCCCCATCACAGGGTACGTAGGCCTCAGAGTCAGATTCTGAGTCAAGTCTGTCTTCCCTTGTAAATAAATAAATATTTCTCACTCCATTATCATCATTTTATATCAAACACATGAATATAAAAGAGATAATAAAATAATTTTAAAACCATATTAATAGAGCACAATAAATTTCAGGTAACCGTTCTGACGAATGAGTGTTGTGGGGTGCCTAATACCTTTCCCACATTCAACTGACTCCCGAACCTATTCTCTAATTTCACAGACCACCCTTATCCTCCTTTTAAACGGTTTTTTCAAAATTTATCTCAAAATCTTGATGGTGACTCCTTATTCTGTTAGGTTCCCTTCGCGACCTCCACTCACGCGCCATTCGCATCGCATTTTTTTAAATGCAATACTGATTGCCTACCTATTTATTGAAAAATGTTGGAGAGGCAAATGGTTATAACTTATTACGTCATTCACCACTGCTACGTTCATCCAGGTTACAAAGCACTTCTTCACCATAAATTCATCCTATCTTATATTTATTTAATATTTAATGTCTTGTCCTCATTTTTTTCAGGTGCTCCTACTTCTCTTTCCTTCTTTCTTCTTTTTGTTTTTCTCTCTCCAAAATTTGACACGTCTCTCCTCCTCACGTATATGGCCGTACTTAATAAGTAAAACTTTATTACCACAGCAACAATAAAAAAAGGATAAAGATTAAAATCACAATAATGGTAATTTATAGAAGGAACTATAATAAATAGATTTACTATATTGGTATAAGCAATTCAATTTTTTTTAACTTAAAGATGAGAATTAAATACTTAATATTTTGTAAAATATAAGGGACATGTGAATTTTCCAAGCTCACCTTGAGGTCCAAAAGCGACCACTGATAAGGTGAAGACAAAGCTAACGTCTTGTGCGTCAATGAGCAAGCATTCATATCAATAGAGCGCTATCTCATGACTAACATGTAGATTGTAAAGCATCGGGCGGTGTGCTAAAGATCAAGAATCGTAGTCTTCAACTATAAGGCAAGGAAGGTAGTTTTCATCCCAGTGCTATTCATCCCAAGATATGGCTTTCGACAGGAACAAAAAACAATCGCAAAGAAGAATCCTACTTTATTATATATATATATATATATATATATATATATTCTATCTTAGAAGTGAAGAAGGGAGTTTCATATTAGTCTCAGCAGGAGAGTGTAATAGCCCAAAAATAATAATAATAATAAATAAAATGAAGACAAAATCTAGTGGGGTCTTCTTTTGAAAATTTTCCCAACAAGATTTGGTCTTGTTTTGTAATTTTCCAAGGAGTTTATATTTCATTCTCTCTTCTCCTTTGTCGGTGAAACACGCAGAACAGAAGTGAAGGCTTGCGTTTCTTTTTCCTCTACTTTTCTTTTCTTTCTCGTTGCACTGGTATCATCTTTGCCATTAGCGTGCATGTCTCCTCATCACCGAAAAGTCGTCCGCTCCTTTCTCCTCTGCTATCCGTCTGTTTCTGTCAAGCGGTGAAGCTGAATTTCTTCTTTGTTCTTCGCTGTTGCGTGGTTGATAGGTGTGAGCGTGCATGCGTGTACAGCTTTCTCTTTTTTTTCCTTTCAACAGCTGAAAGTTTTGTGTGTGTGTGTGTGTGGGGTTAGCTTGAATCCTTTCTTGATTTTAGTCGGTGGTGTCTATTTTTTTCCCTCCTCATTTAAACAACAGAATCACAATTATTCTCCTTCCTTGGGTGGCATCCGTGAGGTGAAGTGTGGTTAAAGCTACGGTAATTGATTGAGGTAAGTTCCTAATCATAGCAACACGAATCAGTCTCTTCTTCCCTCACCGAAGGCGCAGTCCCTGCTCCTTTTGGTGCTGTCATGATTTTTCTGAATTTTAATTGTAATTTCAGTTGAGGCTACGCATGACTTTTAGTTGGTGATGAGTTGAGTGTTGATTTTAAAATTAATCTTGGAAGTTGATTAAATAGGTGGATGATTATTGTGAGCTGAATTTGGATGTACTCAAGGTGTTTGAGAAAATGCTTGAAAGAAGAAATTTGTAGAAATGTTGCTGAGTAGAATAAATTAGTTGGGGAAATATATATGTAAGAAGTGGCTTGAGTTGTTGATTAAAATTTAAAGATATTAAAATAAAAAAAATAATTATATATGATACTTGTGTAATATTTTTTTTTCTTAAGTTTAAAGGAAGCACAAGAATAGTTGATTAAGTTTATTATGATTTATGATTGAAAATGGGTCACAAAACAATATGAGGATAAATTAAAATTTGTCAAATGGTTTAATTAACTCCAATATACTTGGAATATAATTAGTTAGAGTATTATCCTTTATATTATTGGATTAAATTAAATGTTCATTAAGAACTTGAAAAGTTTCTTGATAAATGATTTTAGACTTATGATTTACTTGTCAAGAAATTAAGGGCATAATTAGAATTAAAGTGAAAAGTTAAGAGAGACAAACTTTAAAATTATTAATAACTTTCAAGTGGGTAGCATTTCAAAATAATTTCTTGCAAAGTGTTTAAAAAATTTCTTTATTTAAATTTTTATAGCATTTCTTTATAAGTTGTACAAATATTCTTGTAAATTTTATTTTTATGATTTATACAGTTCTTTTTACTTACCTTACTTTTATATCAATTGGTTTATTATGGAATTTGCTTTATTTTTATTAAGAATTATGCTATTATTAAAAAATATTTGGATCCAGTACATTATTGACTAATTATTTATTCTAAACATTTCTATTCTTTAAATTTTATAATTTATATGACAGTTGTTAATACGGTGGTGAGTCATGCATGGAGAATAATAAAAAAAAATTTAATAGTTGAATATTATATTTTGAAAGAAATGATTTGCAATGAATGTTTTAACCCCATGCACACTTGATTTAATTAGGGAGATTAAGTTTAGAACGCTAGACGTTAACGACAGTTTTGTTAGTCCTTGGTGCGTCATGGCACACCCAGCTAGCAGAGTGAATTGAAAGTGTTAGTCTATGTGCCGGCCAATACACATGGAATGGAGGATATATTTTCGTGGATATAATCCACGCATGTTATTCGTGAGCTATATGCTTGCGCCTATTTTCATGGCTTCTTGCCATGCTGAATATGTTACTTACCCTCATGAACTATGTATCCATGTCTGTTAATCGTTTTGATTAAGTCCTGCTAAAGAAAGAATTTTGAAACTATTTTCTTTAAATTTGATCTCAAAAAGCAAATTGCTATTTTATTATATGTGGGTTTTATATTGAGCAATAATATATATATATCCCAAGAGGTTTAAGTATGTGTAGAAATTTAATAATTTCATTTGTATTTATATATTCATGTTTATATTAATTTTAATATATTATTTTAGTAAAATTTATAATTAACTCAGTGATTTGCTTTCCATTATTTTTCTATAACTGTAAATTGGGACACTATTCACTAAAAAAATTTATTTTGGTCTCAAATATAGAAAATGACCTTGCATTTCCTACTGATCACTAAAGGAAACAATTGTTTTGGGACCGTGGAAGCATACGTTAGTTACTTTTGATGTAAATAATTTTTTTTATAATGAGACATTAACTTAGCATTTCACATATATTGTAGTTAGGTCCTAATCTTATTTTACTATTGTGAAATCTGTTGGTATGGAACTAAGCTCCTTTCTAGTTTGGCTGACAAGTTTTGTCATTATAGAAATTTTGGGTGGTCTTATAGGGGGCACTTTGTCAAAATTTCTACATAATGGTTAAAATTTCATGAATTTTAAATTTAGATATAAATTATATCATTATTTTGAATTATTTTCTAATTAATTAAAGCTTATGGAATGTGAGTCTATCTTATATTTCATGTCGGTCAAACCCTCAATACTGAGGTGTGACAGAAAGGTAGTTATAATGTAATGTAGCTTATTAAAAAATCTCGATAAAGTAAAATATTATTAATTTATTTTTCTTATTTCTTACTATTTCTATTTTGCATGACTTTAATATAGTATATTACTTATTAATATAGGGTGAGAACATATGCAAATTGTTAGCAAATAGCCTAAATCATCATGCGTTGCTATCGGTCGGGTGTTAAATTTGCCGAAAAACATGCTACATAATATGCCACTTCCTACATCCTATGTATAGGTTACTATTGATGTGCCAAATGTAACATCCAAGAAAATTTAACATTGGTTTATTAACCTAATGAGGGTAATTAGTGAGTTAATGAGGTGTGTTGCTAGAGGGGCCTAACGTGGCATAATTGCTGTAATTTCAACCCTAAAAGTAGGTTTGGATCAATGGCGGGCCACCTAGGTAAGAAAAAAGGAAGAAAAAGGAAAGAATTGTCCTCTGTGTCATATGCCGCAGTACGTGGATAGTTCACTATGGCACACAGGGACAATTTGGAATAATGGGTTCCTCTATGCCATGTGCCGTGGTGGAGAGCAGCACGTGCCGCAGTGCATGACTAAAATTCTAATATATTAGTTATGTTCTGCATACAAAAAACAGAAGGAGAGGAGGAGAGGAAAGCGAAGATCTCAACTTAGGCTTTGCTAGGGCACGGCATTGGCTTCCATTGTTGGCATTTTGAAGCTCCCAAACATCCAAGGTAAGTTTATGGTGCCTTATTCTTCCCCTCTCCCTCATTTATGATGATTTATGGTAGGGTTTGTGTTGAGAGATAGATTTTCAGTTCACAGGAGTATGGGTCCAATTCCATTGGTTAAAATAAGTATAATGAGAGTTGTTTAATATATTGAAACACCATATTGATGATTTTAGAAATAGTTGGTCCATAGAAGCATTTATTATCCAAAAATTAACATAAATATGGTAATTGGGAGAGGTTAATGTGCATTAATGATGATTTGAGGTATTATTAGTGATAATGTGCATTAATAAAATTTAATGAGCCCATTGGCTTTGAATGGGCAGTCACTATGAGTTGATAAAATGGAGCATGTGAAGTTATATGTTGATAAATCTTCAAGAGTTAGACAATGATGAAATTTTTGTGGCATGGATATAGTGAGGTTCATTTTTAACACCATTCAAGCTTATTGAAGCTTTGGGAAGTTAGTATAGTGAGGGGTAAACCTTTAACCTCTCAAAGGTTTGAGGTAACTGGGAAAAACTTAATCTTTATAGTTGAATGTTAATTGTGTTTGTGAAATGTAAATTGTGAGTTAAATTAATGATGCAAATTGGCAAATTATTTGATTTGTGAAATGGTTTTTGGAAAGAAAACCTTGATTTTGCCACCCTTAATGTTTTATGAAATTGATTATGATTTATTACTATAGGTGGAGAATTGTGATATATTATGTGTTGAATTATGGAATATTGAGTTATGTGAATTCATGTATTATGAATTGATTGTTAAAATGCATATTATGTGAGAAATGTGCATAGCATGATTATCGGCAGGAGTTCACCTAAGGAGAAAAGTAGATTGGTTGAAATCGACATGGTATTGGCAATGACGATTGAAATTGAGAACTATCCTTGGCACCGACCATTGAAATTAAGAGGTAGCCCTTATCCCATAGTTGATTCGGGACTATCTCACTTGTTCTATAAGGGAATCAAACCTAACTAGTTTTCACCAGTTTATGAGGAGGCTAGATTAGGGGTATGACATTACATGGTTGTTAATATTAAGGGAAATTGGATTATATAATTGAGTGAGTTCATCCTGGCCCAATAGTTCCTTACAAGTAGAAGGCTGGGTTAATCCGTAAAGGACATAGCCATATGATAGCCATTGATTTCATGTCAGAGGTAACAGGAGGATATAAAGTTGGCATATGATCATGCATATAAGTCCAGCTACATGGTTGTTAGTTTTGTGGTCCGACATGTGTGACGGCACATGGTTGTTACCTTTGCGACCGTGTGTTATGTTTTTGCTAAATAACATAATGAAGTGTTTTGTGGCAAGCTTGGTCACATGCTTGTTAGTTTTGTGAACTGTAGCTGAGTGTTATGTGTTATTTATGCTTATTTGCCTAATTGTATCTATTTACAATTGATATACAACTGTATGAGTTAAGTGAAACTTGGTTACTGAGTGACTGTACTCACCCCTTAATTCTCAATATTTTCAGGACCTAGCTCATTAGATTCGAGTCGAAAAAAACATATAAAGGCCTAGAATTGTGGAGTAATCCTCTATATGCCTCATTTTTATTACTTTCATGTATATTTGTTAATGTAATTACCAATTAGGATTAATTGACATGCTCTATGCACTACTTGCATGATTTTTGTATAACTAGTGTATTTTATGCCCTAAGTTAATGAGTTTTGATTGTAAACCCATGGATAGGGCCAAAATACTTGTGTAAGTAGAAACATATGTATTTTGAGAAATTTGAAAAGAAATTATTGATTTTGAACAACATTTCCTCCCCTTTTGTGTTTTATGAAAATTGGGGTTAAGTGACGATTTTATAAGATAAGTGTCTTTAATTATGTGTGGTGCATTGCATGTGTCTGCAGGAGTCCATTAAGTGTGGTCGGATGGTTGGTGTGAGCTATTGGCATGTGTCGTTGAGTTGGGACACCCCATTTGTGAAATTTTGTGAAAAAGTGATCAAAATATGTTTTAGTGTCCAACTTTTTATAGAAAATGAGTTTGAGTGTGAAACTGGTGCCATTAGTTAGAGCCAGGAGAAAGCTCCGTATAGACACTGAAACCACCTCAATCAAATGTCGGAAGGGGATTTGGGACACGTCAGAAGTCCGCTCCATGTGCTGTCAAATGAAAGCATTGATACTGTCAAATTTTGTGCAATGTGTCACAGCACACGGTGCCTCACACCACGGCGCACATGCCGTAAGCCGCAATGCATGTGACACTTTCTGCATAAAAATCTATTTTTGAGTTTTAAAACTCATTATTTTGGGTCCCGATTGATTTTTTAACTTCTACTTTACTTTCAAAACTCTGATATGAACTTATTAGATAATGTTTGAGATTTGAATTGTTGAAATTGGGATTCCTTTGAAAGAATTTTAAGAATTTCTTTTATAAAACATTATAATTTGGTAATTCTTTGAAGGTTAAACCCTAGAGTGGCATGATTTGGAGTCAATTGTGGTTTAACCTCTAAAAGGTTACACCAAAAGATTTGAACTATCTACTACCTATTCCCATCAAGGAGGTAAGGATTGTTTGAGAGGTGACAGATAGTTTTGCTGGATGGCAAGCTAGTCAAGTTAGGATGTCAATTCTAAAAAAACTAATAAAGATACACAGTCCAAGAAAAAGATGATACCCCAATCTAAGTTCTCCTAAAAAAAAGTAGTCTCCCATAAAGTTGCTCCTGAGCAAGAGCCTTAATTGCTAAGCCAATACTAGAATTTATTTTAGGCATATATAATGATTCATAAGTCTAATCCCCTGGTCTTGCAAATCCCGTTCGAGGTTGGTATATATGGCGAACACTAATATGATATGCTTTCACTTAATATTATTGATGAAATGCTTTAACATGATATGACCAGCTTTATTATTCTTAGCTTTTACATACGGTGATTTTTTCATATATGAATAGTTAGTATTTTAAATATGATCTAATCCATTTGAAATATTTATAGTATGTGCTTGTATGAAAAATTTGTTATCCCTTTCGATCTATAAATGAAGTTTGTCTTCGTTAGTCTTCATGAGGTTGGTGCACATGCCTTAATTAAAAAAAATAAGATTTTAGAACAAGCAAAGGCATCAAGTAAAAATTTCAAAGAAAGGGCTTGAAAGGAAATATCATTCATGATACCATACTGTCAAGGGTAACATACTTCTCACTTATCTTAATAATTTTTTATTTTTAATTTTACCAATTAGTTATAATTTTATAACACTTGTTAATACTATTAGGGACCATTAGATGTTAATCACTACCAAACCATCTGACAAAACTCCAAAGATATATTATCTCGATTCTCTTGGAGGGAAACTAGGAAATTGACAAATATTATTAGAGTTAATTAATACATAAGTGCATAAAGTATTTCACATATTTATTTGTTTCTTTAAGTTCCATGCTGACGTATTTTTTACTATTTTATCAGAGTGATTGTGTTATAATGCACAAACACAAAACAATCAATTCCAAAATCTTTTATAAATTTTGTTTCAGCTTATACTTGGAATATAATAAAGTAATTGTAATCGTTTATTGAATTGAAATATCATGCATTAATCCTTATTCATTGATTCTTTAATTTATAATGCCCAAGACAAATGAAAAATAACTTGGATTGTGGCTTCTGCATTATGAGGTTCATGAAGGACATCAGTATCCATAACGAGAGCATAATTCTCAAGATGGTATGTCAACAATATTCACTTTTCAATTTTAAAAAAAATTAATGTATTAAAATTAATTTATAATTAATCATTTATATATTATAGTACTATGACGATTCTCACGTTAAAGAATTTGGGAATGCAAAAATAAATGAGGTAATTGAAGAATGATATCTGTATATTTTTTAAATGTGGAGCTCTCACAAAGAAGATCAATAAAACTACCTAGAAGTAGTTAAGATGTTTATAGTTTTAATTGTAACATCCTTAATTTTAAATCTAGATTAATTAAGCTTAAATAGATTAGTAAAGTGAATCTTTGAGGTGTGTGGCTAGAGAGGCCTAATGGGTGTGTTTGATCTTGATTTCAGTACCAAATGTGGGTCTAAAGGAGAATCGGGTCACCCAGGGATAGAAGAGGAAGAATTTCTGAAGGGAGTGATTCTGTGCCACACGCCATGGTGTGGGGTTAGTCCGTCGCAGCGTATGGGTGACAACACGCCTGGAAGAAGCTCTCTGTGCCATGCGCCACGAAGCATTGTGTGTCCGTCGTGGTGCATGGCTAAAATTTTGTAGTATTAAGTCACAAATTTAAAGTGAAAAAAGAAAGGGAAACAAAAGAGAACGAGAGAGTGGCGGAAAAGCTGAGTTAGGGCTTGAAGAAACTGACTATTGAGAGTAATTTAGAGCTTATAAACACCTAAGGTAAGCTTCCTTACTTAAATCTTCCTCTCTTCTTCCATTTTCTTGATGGTAGATATTAGGGTTTGATTACTAATTGTGATTTTCGATACCTAAAAATTATGGGCCCGAACCCATTGACTTAAATAAAGTTAATGGGGGTAGATTGAGCTAGGTAAACTTGATATTTATAGTTTTATGATGATTGATGGTTAGAGGACTTTAAGTGTCTAAAATTTTTATAAATTTGGTGGTTGGAAATAATGTGGCTTCATTAATGCCCATTTAAGAGCTCAATGTCATAAATAAGAGTTATAGGAAGCTAAGAAATCTTATAGGTACTTTTACATGAGTTTAGAATAAATCTTGAGAATTAAGAAATGATGAAATGCTAGTAAAAAATAGCTCAAAATATATATTGATGTTTTGCATGGTAAATGCTTATAGTGTAATTACTATTGGTACCATTCAAGCTTCTTAGAAGCTTTGGGAGCGAATAGTTGAGGGGTAAAACCTTTAACCTCTCAAAGGTTTGAGGTAACCGGAGGAATTTGATCTTATGCTTGTGTGTGACCATTAGTTTATTGATTTATGAGTTATCATTAGAATGTATAAAATAAAAGAAATGCAAATGTGGCTTAATTCATGAAGAAATCCACTAGATCAAATTTGTGAATTTTATGCCTTATGATGCAAAATTTCTCTTGAGAATAATAGTGGTAGATTTTCATATTAATGTTCATTGGGAGTGCAATGATTTCTATAAATTGAGAAGAAAAATGAATCTTTGTTTAGAAGGAGTTCAATGATGTTTGAAAATAGGGAAATTCAATGATTTTAAAGTGAGGCACAATGAAAATAGGGAAGTTCAATGATTTTGAAAGTGTGAGGTACAATGATTGTGAATTGGGAGTTAAACGATTAGTTTGGTTTTAAAGTTTCATGAAATGTGTAATGATGAAGTTCAATGAAAGGTGATAAGGTAAAGTTCTATGAATTGTATATGTGTAAATTATTGCATGAATGTCCATTGCATGATCTAGAGAGGCGGGAGTTCACCTAGAAAGCAGAGCAGATGATAAATCCATGTAGTAAGGCCCCATCCATGTAATGGATTGCCTAAATTGATTTTATCTATATCATCCCACTTGTTTAACGAGGGACTTGAACCTAGTTAGCTATCCACCGGTTCAATGAAGAAGCTAGTCTAGGGTGTATGACACCCTATGGTGAGAGAAATGGGAAAAACTGTGATCCATAAGTGAGATGGGTACACCTTGGCTGGGAAATCCCCTCACGAGTGTTTAGGCTAGGGAAGTCAAGAAACATAGACTATCCCATTGAGTTATAACCCACGATTTTGTGTCAGAGGAATAAGGAGAATATAAGGGAGGTATGATCATGCATATAGTGAGAAAATGCACTTGTTATCTATATTGAGTTCATAATGTGGATATGTTGAGTTGAGTAATAATTTTTGCCATTAGGCTTGTCAATAAATTGTGTGAACAATTTTATTTATATGAAAGATGCTAAAAGCATTGTTTTTCCAAGTGAATGCCATTGTGTAAGTTAAGTTGTGAATTCTTATTTCAAATGTTTCTCATGGGCTAAAGTAATAATATTTACTATCATTTGCATTTAAACTAATTGTTATGCATTAATATGAGCTAGTCGGACCTTGGTTACTGAGTAGTTGTACTCACCTTATTATTTTTAATATTTCAGGGAATAGCTCAAGAAATGGAGACAGAGAAAAACAACTCGAAGCTTAGGATCACGATCCATTTGTAATAGGCCTCTTTATTTTAGGTATTTATGTGTATGAAAATTTTGTTTGCCAACTAGGATTTCCCTTTTTGTTACTTACTTGCATTAAGTGAAATGTAAATTGTAATGGTATTTTGGGCCCTAGGGAGGGAGTTGATTATTATGTGTTATGATGGTAGGGCCAAAATACTATTGCAAGTAAGGGTAGTGAATATTAAGTAATGATTTGGGAAATTTTGATGAAAATTATGGTAAACTCTCCCTTCCTATGATTTTGAGCTAAGGGGTTGAGTAGTGAAAATTTGATCTGAAAATATTTCTTATGTTATGGTGCATTGCACGAGTTAGTTTTGATGAATTGTTTGTGGTCATATTATTGCTGGTGACCTTTGGTGCTTGATTTTGGTTAGGACAGTTGAAATTTGTAAAATTTGTCGTAATAGTGTAAGTTTTAAAAAGGATGTCCAATTTTTTTTTTAAAAAAAAGAATTTGAGCTTGAGACCAATGCCATTAGTTCGAGTTCGGAAAGAGCTTTTTGTAGACTCCTAGTCCATGTCATTCGGACATCAGATGGAGATTTGGGGCGCGTCGGAAGTTGGCCTTAAAGGTGTCAAATTGACAACAAAATTCACAGTCAAAATTCTTGCATTTGTGCCGTGGCGCATGGCATCACGATCCGCAACGTGTGTCATAGAGGCGAACACGCCACAGCGCACATTCAATGAGCTATAGCGCACACCTTAAAATTTTTTAGAATTTTTCTTTTTCAGATTTTTGCACCAATGCACTCACTTATGTGATAATCCCTTGCTTTCGTGTATTTGTGAACTTTGTTTGGCCTCTTGGAAGACTTGATTTGACTTTAGATTTATAATCTTGGGGTCCCCATTTTGTTAATTAATGAGAATTCTATATTTATGATTACTATTGTCTCATTTTCTTAATTATTTGGGATTTAGGTTTTAATTGTTGGATAAAAGAAGGAGGATATTACATTACTAGCTAGTTTACTTTAGAAAGTAGTTTACTTTATAAAATTACATTTGTTTACTTGATAGATTAGTATAAACATTCCATCAATTAAGTTTGCAATTTAATACAATAAATTCTATTGATATTCAAATATGTAAATGTTGAAATGATCATCTATTGCTATTTTAGTTTCTTTTTACAGGGGACCGATATAAATAGCAACTACCTTATTTAAACAAGTATATAATAAATGATGGTTGTTTAAATAACCATCATTTATTTTGACTTTAAATGATAAGTAAATGATTTATGAGTGTAATTTACTATACTTTATATGACGATTAAGTCATTTACCCATCATTTAAAGTTAAAATAAATTATGGGTAAATATTTTACAAGTCATTTATTGTGACTGTAAATGATGGATAAAATATTTACTTGTCATTTATTCTTTTCCTTGATAGCATTGACACTTAAAAATTATATTTTAAATGAAAGTTATATAACCGTCATTTATTAAGAGACTTTAAATATTAGCCACATTAATCGTCATTTATGAGTTAAAATAATCATATATATATATATATATATATAATATATATATATATATATATATATATTAAAAACAAAAGACCACCCCCACAATTGCTGGCATCAGCACCAAAGACCCCTTATCGCCAATGACTCATTCAACCATTAAATCAAAAGTCATTGCAATGAAGAATTTGAACCCAAGAACCCTTCATTACTTGAAAAATTAATGACCACTAAGACACTGATGCTATGTCATTAAATTATATAGAAATAATATATGTAACAAGTTATATTGCTTGAGAGAAACAAATATTATGATTTGATAAACAAGTTATTATTTGAGGAAAAAATATCCCAATTCCATTTTAATAAGCAACAATTCCATAATTAACAAATCTAGAACCATTTTGCTTGAGAAAAACAAATGTAGTGATCTGGTGAATAAGTCATCATTCAAGATAAAAAGTCCCCGTTCCATTTTAACAAGTAATAATTCTTTAATTAATAATTCCAAAAAAATGACCATTTTGCTTGAGAGAAGCAAATATTATGATTTGGTGATCAAGTCATCATTAAAGAAAAAAAGTTTCCATTCCATTTTAATAGGCATTAATTCCATAATTAACTAGTCCAAAAAATAGCAATTTTTCTTGAGAGAAACAAGTGTTGCCATCTAATAAAAAAATTTAATGGCCATTTTTTTAGACTTGTTAATTAAGAAATTGTTGCTTCTTGAAATGGAACGGGGATTTCTTTTATCTAAAATGATGATAAAGTTTTTTCTTCTGAGTGATGAGTTATTCACCAGATCACAAGATTTGTTTCTCTCAAATAAAATAGCTATTTTCTAGGTTTGTTAATTATAGTATTGTTGCTTATTAAAATGAATTAGGGACATATTCTTTTCACAAATGACTATTTGTTCACCAAATCACAATACTTGTTTCTTTCAAGCAAAATGATGATTTTTCCAACTTGTTAATTACAAAATTATTGCTTATTCAAATGGAATGGAACTTTTTTTTTGAACGATGACTTGTTCAATGAACATCTCACTTATTGTTAATATATTATTGTCTTGCATATTATAATTAAATAATATTGGCGACTTGGTAGTCATTATTTTTTAGGTTGCCAAACAGTTTGAAGTTCAAACCCCTTGACCACCTATGATGATTTAATGGAGGTCCAATGGCCAGTGACCTCACTAGTGGTAGGGGTTCTCTAACAATTTGACAGCTAGTGCCAACAATTGTTGGGGTGGACCTTTTTTTTAAGAGAAAATAATAATAAAATTTCTTTGAATTATATAAATGATAATATAGTCCTTTGAAATGCCTTTTTTTAAGTCTTTAGAGACTTTTCTATTATTAATAAATTTATATAAATGACCAAATTACTCATATTGAAACTAAAATGATCACAAGTTTTATTTAAATAATCATAACTTTTTTTCTTATATTCACAATAATACAATGACAAATCAGGAATTTGACAAGTGAATTGTGATTTGCAGTTGCATTGTTACAAATATAAGAAGGAAACTTATGATTATTTAAACAAAACTTGTGATTATTTTATTTTTAACAAGGGCAATTTAGTTATTTTTATAAATTCATTAATGATAGAAAAGTCCCTAAGGACTTCAGTGACGTTATGTCATTTTAAGGGACTAACTTATCATTTATATATTTTAAGGTTATGTTTGGATGGGTGAATTTAAGTTGGGAATTTGAATTTAAAATCTTATATTTGAAATCTCATATTTAAAATTCATAAATTCTAAATTTTTTGTTTGGATAATAAAAAAATTTTAAATTACAATATTAAAATTCTTTGTTTGAATCTAAAGTAAAATTTTAAATTTTAAATTCTATATTTGAATGCAAAAGAAACTTGAAAGATTTGTCAAACTTGATGATTTGAATGGCCAATTTCTAAAGGATCAAACAAACAAAACCAACTGGGACTGTGGCACTAGTGACAATCAGGATGGGACCTCTAACCTCCACCAAGATTGGACTGATGGTGATGACGGAGACCAGATGGCCAACTTCCACTGGGACTGGACCGACAATGACCCCAGGCACTGGATGACCGACTTATATCGGGATCAGATTGATAGCAATGATAGGGACTAGACGGCTGACTTCCACGGGACTAGATTGACGATGATGAATGGCACCAAATAGCAAACTTTCACCAGGGATGAACCGACAGGCAACGGATAGCCAATTTCCACCAAGACCAAACCAACGGACACCGAATAGCCAATTTCTACTGAGACTGGACTAACAGTGACAGCAGGCACTAAACGGTTAACTTCCATCGGGGTTGGATTGACAGCGATAATAGACAACGAAAGTCGATCATCCGGTAGACGTCATTGCCTTCGGTCTGATCTCAGTGAAAATTCATCGTCCAATCCCCGTCATTACCGTCGATCTAGTCCTCGTTGTAGCCGTCGATCAGGTCCCGATGGAAGAAGGTTGTCTAGTGCTCGTGGTAGTCGTCAGTTCAATCCAAGTGGAAAAAGGTTGCTCGGTACCAGTAGTAGCCATCAGTTCGATCCTAGTAGAAGTCAGCCATCCGATGCCCTTTATCACTATTAGTCTAATACTGTGTGGAAGTCTGCTGTCCGATCCTAGTCATCATCGGTCTAATCCCATAGAAGTCAGCCATTCAGTCCCCATAGTCACCATCAATCTAGTCCTCATGGAAGTTGGCCGTTCGGTCCCCATCGTCACAATCGCTTTAGTTTTGGTGGAAGTCGACCATGCCGTCTCAATCATCATCAGTCCGATCTCGGTGGAAGTGGGCCATTCGGTCCCTGTCATCGCAATCGGTCTAGTGTCAGTGAAAGTCAGCCATGCAGTCCCAGTCTTCATCATCGGTCCGGTCCTGGTGGAAGTCAGTCATCTGGTCCCCATCATTGCCATCGGTCTAGTCCTGGTGGAAGTCGGTCGTCCGGTCCCCGTTATCACCGTTAGTCCAATTTCGATAGAAGTCGGCCATCCTATCCTGATCAATGATGGCAACTTGTTTCTGTTAACTTTGATGGTTCAGTGCAATTACCGTTGATAGGTCAATCAAGCCCTTATACATTTGGGTCAAATTATAAAAGAGTTTGAGTTAGGATTTGAAATAATAGGGGTTTAAAAAGGATTTTAAATTACAAAAAGATTAAGGGAGAATTCAGATTTAGATTTAGGTCAAATTCAAATCCATATATTTTTAATTATTCAAACAATGAATTTAGTTCAAATCCAAATCCATGTGTATCCAAGCATAGCATAAAGGACTTTTATTGTCACTTTCTCTCTCTTTTTTAATGTGTGTGTTAGGGGTTGTTTAGTCTTTTTGCAATGTAATATATCTTCATATAGGCCTTATGATCCTGCAACATAATTTTAAAATCATTTGATCTTTGTTCATAGATAATATTCTTAGCAGGTCTTTTGATGTGATTTATCAATTAATAATAAAATATGATAAACTATAAAGACCTACCATTTTATTTTTCATTAACATTCTAGTAACACCATGAATTCAAATATTAAGTAAAAGTAAATGTTATTCACTTATTTTTATAATAGGATTCATTGTTAAATTAAAATGAAACCATTTGTTGCGTTAGAGAAAATTTAAAAAAAATAAAAAATTAATCATTTGGTTCCTACAATTTTAATATAATTGTAACTCAATCCTTGAACTTTCACTCATAACTCAATCCTTATAATTTTAACTCAATTATAACTCAATCTTTAAACTTTAACTCTTGTAACTAGGTATAATTTTTAGCCACTTAAATATATTTTTTATATTTTAAAAAATAAAATGATAAATATTAAAATTATTTTAAAAATTTAATCTTGATACTTTTTATCAAGATTAAAAGAATTTAGTAATTCAAAATATTAATCCTAAAAATTTTAATCTTTATAATTTTATTTTTAAAATATAAAGAGCAATACTTTAATTGATTAAAACTATAAAGACTGAATTACAAAAGTCAAAGTTCATAAATTAAATTACAACTAAATTAAAATTATAAGGACTGAGTTACAATTAAATCAAAACTTTAAAGATTGAGTTATAACAATTTAAAGTTCAATGATTAAATTATAATTGAATTAAAATTTCAAAAACAAAATAATTAATTTTTTCAAAATTAAATTATGAACATAAAACTTAAGAAAATATGAAGAGCCCGAAGTAAACCGAAACTACGTAAAACAATTTAAGAGAAACTAAAAGTCTGAAACATAAAATTGAGGCCAAAAAGCATTTGAGCATTTTTGTTTTGCTTTGAAAATAAAATGTTATCTAGTACTCTTAGTTTTTATTATAAATCACTTTTAACGACCACAGATCAATGAAAGTAGTTGAAAGTAACTTATACGTTTAAATTTTAAAAAAGTATAACTACTTTTTAAAATTGCTTTTAATTAAATTCATTAATTTCTAGCATCATCTTTTTTCCCTAAGAGGAAAAAAATGATTTTCACCCTGAAACGACATAATGAGTCTCGAGCTTAACTTCATTTTATGGTCCCAAGTCAAAGTCATAACCAGAGCAAAAACCACCTTTTCTTTTTCGGCAAAAAGCAATTTCATAATATCAACTAATAGTCAACTACAGAGACCACTAGAAAACCAGCAAGTAAGAAAAGGACATCAGTCTGCAATAACTTTAACATGTAATACCGTTGTTGCAGACCAAAAAGAAAGTCTGCCATCCATTAGTGCTTAATGAACGAAAGAGCATTGAGAATAGCCTCCAATATCAGATGAAGCCTGCCTTTCTCCCTCACAAGATAGCTCGCTAATCCATACCTGACTTGTATGTTTGTGAGTTCTTTTTTTTTTGGAGGGGGGGTTAGGGGCGTTCAAAGTTTTGCCTCGTGTATTATATAGTTCCTTGATCTGGCCAGGACATCAAGATAGCCACAAAAGAATTGTCAGATGGTACTAATAAGTGTTAATCCTGGTAGGAGTTATGCCTTCTTAAGCATCAGGTCTCGAGTTCAAGCCCCTGTGAACGCCAGAAAAAACACAAGGTCTTCAAGAGAGCCGTCCAAAATTGTACTTGACAATACTCAAATTTGACCTAATCAAAAATCCATATAAAAATTGTAGATGGTAACAATTCTTAAGTTAATTCAGAATACTAAAGAAGTCTAGCTGCTGCACTGCAATAATACATAACATTCACAGCCCAATATCAGCTCAGTGCTTATAACATGATTGCTTTTCAAAGTCACCAAGAGAATTTTGCTTCATGTAAAATAGGGTTTTCTATCTTGTCACTAGCTGTGCAGTCATGGGAAGAAGCAAAAAGTAGAGAATTGTTTCATTATCAACCCGGGTAGCAAACAAATAAGTTGTTGTAGCAACTGTTGTTGGCTCATCATGATGTAAATATGTATTGTCTCTGTAGTCAGAAACCATTTTTCAGATCTAATTTCTCAGTCTCTTCTTTCATCTCTTCTAATCTCAAGCTTCTCATCCAACTTCTTCGCTTTCCAAACTTTAATATCTACGCAATTGAAATTTCAACTCCCTCAACAAACCATACATATTCTAAGGAACCCTAAAGCTGCGAAGAGAAGCCTACTAAACAGAACTTGATGATCATTATTAAGCAGAAGCATCTTTTAGATGCTAACTCTTGTAAGCCGCCAATAAAGCCTCTTCATTATCTCTAAACTCGAAAATATACTTCTGCAAGAATTTCCCCTCCGGCAATAGTAGCACTTGAAGAAAACTTGGATTCTTCTTAAGTAACTCTTCTGAGATTAGGAGTTGCAAAACCCTCCATCGAGGAATCACCCGTTTCTCCATGCTTAACGTCAAAATCACAGGGTTCTTAACAAGCACTGACTTAGGAAGCATAATTTTATCCAAGCACACTTGAATTTTAACTTTTAGATTCTTCTCAGATCGCTGAAGCAAAGTGGGAGCTCTTCTAAACATTTGCACGGTCTCTTGTTTAGAAAACCCACAACTCTGAATTGACTCCAACTTTCTGTTAAACGTATCAAAGCTTAAGCTACTAATTACCATGACCGCATGTACCAACATTCTTGAGTTTATGCAGAAACCCATGTTTACAGCCCGTGAAACATAGTTTCGAAGCACGGACTCTCGCATGACAAAAAGGCGAGCTTGTTGCATGCATAAATATGAAAGCTGAGACCCAACGATCCCACAACTCTGGAAGAAAGCAGCATTGCGCAAAATCTTTCGGTGGTCTTGGATTATCCAATTCCCATCTCTGCGTAGCAACTTCATCAAATCTTCCTCTTCATTAACAATTTTCCTAATAGCCTCTACAGAAGGCACCAACGTTTTATTCAAACTGCACATCAAAAGATATGGATTCTTGGAGAGAAGCTCACCCAACTCAGAACCCCGAAACCCTAGAAACTGAAGGTACTCAATTTTCGGCTTCAGAGTTTTACCGACACCTGAAAACAAAATCTGGGGTTGAACCCCAATCATAGATAGAATCTGCGATTCAGAAAGTCCAATCTGTTTAAAATAATTAAGCACAGTCCATGAATTCTGAGGGGGCCTAGCCTGAGAAAGTCGTTTCGATATGTAGACGGATTGAGCTTTGGAGAGTTTGACGTTGGTGTTGAGGTAATCAATGATGGAATCGGCCGAGGCTTGAGTTGGGGAAGAAACAACAGTAGAGACCAGAGAAAGAAAGGATCTGGACAAATTACTCATAGAGTACACAATAGTGGGGTTTAATTTGAGAAAATGCATCGCTCAACAGCAACGGCAACTCAATCTCAAAAAACCCTAACTAAGTTCACCTTTCGGCTACTTCTTGAGCATGAAGCAGGAGTAAATGGTGGAAAGAAAGAGAGCATATCTACTCTATTCTAATTCAAGCATTGGGCACACGTCGGAGAAATTTTAGTTGAAGCTTCAGTGGCAACAAGATGCTAGCTCGTACTGCAGATGCAGTGAGAAGGCCCCGTGGACTTGCAATGCTCTCAGTTCAGCTTTTAAATTGGGGATTTTCTCGTGCCTTTGATTCTTGAACTGTTTATGGGGATGTTTAAAAAATTCCTTGTCAAATTTTAAATTTGGGAAAAGTAGTAATTTCAAAGGAAAATAACAAATAAATCTATGCAAATCACAAAAAAATACTAAAAAATGAGATAATTATTCTTAAGTTTTTAAGAAAGAAAAATGATAATAAAATACTCTTAAATTCTATAAACAACATCCAATCCCTTAAAATATTATAAATTCATTAAAGTTTCTAAAAATTTTTGTATCAATAAATTTTCAAAGTCAAAAGACTATATTACCCTTATCAAAAATAACAAATTTCAATCACAATTTTTAAATTATAAATTGCAAAAATTAAATAATAAACTACAACTTCTCAATTGTAATTTTTATTGTTAAAAAAGCCCTGACTACAACTTTTACAATAATAATTTTTATTCTGTAAATCATAATGAATAAAAAATCATAACTTATTAACTGTAATTTTTATTATTATAAAATGAGTTCTCAATAAAAAAAAACCTCAATAATAATTTTTATTTAAAAAATAATAAATTTTATTCAAAGAATCATAAAAATTAAATAAAAAATTACAACTTATTAAATTTTATTCAAAATATCTCAAGTACTGAGTCTTTTTTTTTTTTTAGCCAAAAGTACCGAGTCTTGCTCTCCTTACTTTGGGATGAAAGAAAAAGACATTTTCATTGCATAGCATAAAGTTTTTCCTTTATGCAGTGTTTGGAATATAAAAAAATAATTTTTAAAAAAGAAAATGATAAATGCACATATCCTATTTCCTCTATAGATACGAGTTTCATTTTTTTTCTTGAAAATATTTTTTTGTACCAAGCATGCACTTAGTTTTCCTCCTTGATAGGAGAAATTAGGAGAAAACAAAGAAAACATTTTTTTTCCCTCTAATTTTTCTTGTTCCTTATTTTCTTCTCTGTAGATAGGGGAATGTTACTACTGTTTGGAAGGCTGCCTCTGCTTCAAGGGTTTTAGTGCCATCATCTCCTCTAGCTTATTTAATCTACAAGGACTTAGAATATAAATGCATCATAATAAAATAAAGGTTAAGATATAGTTTTGTCTTTAAACTATTCTTGAAGGAGCAATATTATCCCTAAATTACTCATCATAACAATATTGCCCATAAACTAATTAAGTCAAAGTAATGTTGCCCTTGCCATTTAAAAGTAGTATTGTAGCTTGTGGAACCAACTTTTCATAAGTTTAGATGTAATTTTACCTCTAAACTAATCTTAAAAGAGCAATAATACACTCACCGTTTAAAAATTATAAATGTCCATTAACTGTAACTAGTGAGACTCACTTTTTATTGTCTCTCTCTAGCAATAATTTAAAAATTAAATAGTCAAACCGTCGACCGAAGCTATTAATGACTTAGTTTAGACTAAAAAACTATTTTCATAATTAAGTCGAATTGAATAGAAGTTAAATCGCTATTAAGCTAAAAATCGGAGTAAAATCGAAAATCAGAACAGTTTTCAAAAAACTAGACGGTTTTAAACATAATGTTAAAAAAGAAGCTTAAAAGTTTTAAAAAAATAGAAAAAAATTCAAAAATTAGATCCTACTAAAAGTTAATTTTATTTTTGAATAATTCATATATATAAAATATGATTTGAGATAATTTTTTTATAAAGATGTTGACATTTATAGGTGCAAATACAAATACTTTTGAATTTATTCATATCTAATTTAATTAAAATTTACTTATATTTGACAAGTTATAAAATAAAAAATAAAAATATAATAATATTAAATAAAATAATATTAAATATACACATAAAAAAATAAAAAAAAATTATGGCATGTTAATAAAATGAGACAACAATGTCGTAAATTAATAATATTATAAATTATAATTTCATAATTTGTCAAATATATATAAATTTTGATTAAATTAAATATAAGTAAACTCAAAAATATTTATATTTTCACCTATAACTATCAATATCTTTAAAAAATAATGATCTCGATACGTAAATTGTTCATAATTATAGTTGCCTTTGAATAGAATCTAATTTTTAAATTTTTCTATTTTTCAAATTTTTTAAGCTTTTTTTAATATTATGTTTAAAACCATTTAATTTTTAAAAATCGCTCCAGTTTCCGGTTCAACTCCGATTTCTTGCTTCATAGTAACTTAACTCCTATCAAATCCAACTCAATCATAAAAAATAATTTTTTGATCTAAACCAAGCCATTAATGATTTCGGTCAACAGTCCAACTGTATGGTCAAATTCGGTTTGTAAATCATTGTTAGAGAGATATAATGAAAAATGAATTCCTTTTTGCTACAATTAATAGACATTTATGATTTTTTAAACGATAAAAATAACATGCTTTTCTAAGAATAATTTAAAGGTAAAATTACACCTTAACTCATGAACATTTAGACAACGGAGGTATCATTATTTCGATTTAATTAGTTACAAATAACATTGCTATGATGAGTAGTTTAGGAATAACATTGCTCTTCTAAAAATAATTTAGGAGTAAAATTACACCTTAACTCTAAAATGAAAATAAAGAGATGCATTAAAACGTTTAACTACAAATTTCTTATTCTATCCCAGCACTTCCAGTAAAATAGCTTCTAGGCTACATTCTTCTTACACACACGCCCTAAAACTCAAGCAAAGAAGAACAAAATTGTTAAATGAGAATTTATTTTAGAAGAAATATCAAAAATAAAATTAGGTCATTTTCATTCTACTTTCCTCCATTCTCTTCATCTGTGAGACTCAGAACAGAAACTTTTAGTGATTATTACGTGGAAGCATAAGCATGATAGTGACTCTTGCAAGCAAAAAATAAATCCTTAGCATTATGCTTTAAATGTTGAAATATACTTCCTCAAGAATACCACAGGCAATTCTAAAATTAGAATAAAGAGAATCATTAAAAGAAATAAAAAAAAAAGAACAAATTTGACGAGTTGCTGCAACTCTAAAATTACACTGCATAGTTCCTTTTTTTATCTGTAATTTAATTAACTTAAGTCTTTTAGTATCAGCAACAGAACAAAGTTGCAGCCAATTTGTAATATTCTTTTTGCCAAAAACATGATCAAAAAAATAATTCACATCCATTTTTTTATTTTAAAAAAAACTCTACCATTAAAAGGATTAGCAACATCTGGTTGAGAGAGAGAGAGAGAGAGAGAGAGAGAGAGATTCGTAATATGAATGCATAGAAAAAATGATTTTTTTCCCCCGGAAAACAAAGGGATCCGTCATATAGCTAGTTAAATGTAAATGTCATTTACCTTTAAAAGTTCAGAAGGCAATGCACTTTCCCATTTTTTCCCCCTAAAAAACACTTTTCCGCATACCAAATATTGTATAAATGTCAAAAAGCACGAGCATAAAAAGAGAATAAAGAAAACACAAAAACGGTTAACAACAAGCTTCTCGGAAGTTTAGGGTATTTGTATCCTATAATAAGGTTCCCAGTAAACTAGCTTCAGGGCTCCGTTGTCCCTCAAAAGATAGTTCGCTAATCCATAACTGGCTTGAATGTTTGTTACAATAGGGGAGGGGAGGCTCAAAGTTTTGCCACATCTGTATTGTTTTGCGAATGAACTACAATTTCAGCACATTACATAATTCCTTTTTTATCTATAATTTAGTCAATTAATAACAGCTACAGAATCAGGGTAAAAAGATGCTATTACTCGTCTCAAAGGATCTGGTTTGGACCAAACTATCAGCCAGACCAAAGATAGGCACAAAAAATTGTCAGATGGTATCAACAGGTGTTAATCCTAGTGGAATGGGCTATGGCTGCTTAAGCACCAGATCTCAAGTTCGAATACATGTGAATGCAAAAAAAAAAAAAAATCTTTGGAAGAACTACACCTCAACAATATTATAATTGACCCAATCAAATAGCCATATAAAAAAGAAAAAAGAAAATGTCAGATGCTAACAATTCTTAAGGTAAAAATCCAGAATAAGAATACTAAAAAAGTCTAGCTGCTGCAATGCAATAATACATAACATTCACAGCCCAATATCAGCTCAGTGCTTAACATGATTGCTTTTCAAAGCCATCAACAAAATTTTGCTTTGCATGAAATAAGGTTGTCATTCTTGTCATATTGAAGGAACTTAACATGATTGCTTTTCTTCACTGGCTGTGCAGTCATGGGAAGAAGCAAAAAGTAGATAATAGTTTCATTATCAACTAGGGTATCAAAATACCAAGTTACCGTAGCCACTGTTACTGGTTCACCTAGATGTAAATATATATCGGCTCATCTTGAAATGCGCCAGTGAAAGTGCATTAAAGTTGGCATTAACCCCAACGTTTTCATGCAATAAGCAGACATATTGAGCTTCATTATCACTTTAATCAAGAGAACCCAAACGCACTGCTCAACCTTTTCAGTTTTCACTGTGGTCAGAAACATTTTTCAGATCTAATCTCTTATTCTCTTCTCTTCTAATTTCAAGCTTCTTATCTAACTTCTTTGCTTTCAAAACTTTAACATCTACGGCTTGAATGGGGAGATGCTGCTATTCAGGGGATATGGCAAATTTACAGAGTCAGGAAAGAGACATAAGGTGAGGGGGTTATTTTGAAGGTTCTTACTTTCTTCTAATTCCTATACAAATAGATCATGATGAGTAGATCAAGGTTTACAATACTAGACATTTTTTAGTATGTATGCATTAAGCATTGTAATTGTAGAGAAATTTTGGCAACTCAGCTAGAAAGTTAAAAATGTTAACTGAGAAAAATGGAATCAGAATTGAAATTTCAAACTCTTCCTCCCCACTCCACTCAATCCAAACAAACCATACATGTTCTAAGGAACCCTAAGGCTGTGAATAGAAGCCTACTAAACAGAACTTGATGATAATTATTAAGTAGAAGCATCTTTTAGATCTGACCCTTGTAAGCCTCCAATAAAGCCTCTTCATTATCTCTAAATTTGAAAATATAGTCCTGCAAGAATTTCCCCTCCGGCAATAGTAACACTCTAAAAAACTTGGATTCTTCTTAAGTAGCTCTTTTGAGATTAGGAGTTGCAAAACCCTCCATCGAGGAGTCACTCTTTTCTCCAAGCTCAAGGTCAAAATCGCAGGGGTATTAACCAGTTGTGACTTGGGCAACATAATGTTATCCATGCACACATGAATTCCAAATTTTAGCCTCTGCTCAGATTGGAGAAGCAACGGTGGAGCTCTTCTAAAGATTTGCATGGTCTCATCTTTGGAAAACCCGCAACTCTGAATTAACTCCAACTTTCTGTCCAACTTTACAACGCTCAAACAACTAATTGACCGGAGTGCATATACGAACATTCTTGAGTTTATGGAGAAACCCATGTTGACAGCCCGTGAAACATAGTTTTGAAGCAGAGACTCATGTCGAACAAAAAGGCGACCTTGATTTACAAGCAAAAAGGAAAGCTGAGACCCAACGATCCCACAACTCTGGAAAAAAGCAGCATTGCGCAAAACCTTTCGGTGGTCTTGGATTACCCAACTCCCATATCTGATAAGCAACTTAATAAAATCTTCCTCTTTATTAACAATTTTCCTAATAGCCTCCACAGAGGGCACCAACGTTTTATTCAAACTACACATCAAAAGATATGGATTCTTGGAGAGAAGCTCACCCAACTCAGAACCCTGAAACCCTAGAAACTGAAGATACTCAATTTTCGGCTTCAGGGTTTTATCGACACCTGAAAACAAAATCTGGGGTTGAACGCCAATCATAGATAGAATCTGCGATTCAGAAAGTCCAACCTGTTTAAAATAATTAAGCACAGTCCATGAATGCTGAAGGGACCTAGCCTTAGAGAGTCGTTTCGAGATGTAGACGGATTGAGCTTTGGAGAGTTTGACGTTGGTGTTGAGGTAATCAATGATGGAAATGTCTTCGGCCGTGGTTTTAGTTGGGTAAGAAACAACAGTAGAGAACAGAGAAAGAAAGGATCTGGGCAAATTACTCACAGAATATAAAAGAGTGGGGTTTAATTTGAGAAAATGCATCGCTCAACAACAACGGAAACTCAACCTCAAAAAACCCTAACTAATTTCACCTTTTCGGCTACTTCAGAACATGAAGCAGGAGTAAATGGTGGAAAGAAAGAGAGCATATCTACTCTATTCTAGTTCAAGCATTGGGCATACCTCAACGAGATTTGAGTTGAAGCGCGACAACATGCTAGCTTGTACTGTAAATGCAATGCGGAGCCCCATGGATTTGCAACGTTTTCAATTCTGCTTTTAAACTGGGGATTTTCTCACGCCTTTGATTCTTGAACTGTTTATGACGATCAGGCGATGTCTGAGAAATTCCAAGTCAGAATTTTAAATTTAGTAAAAGCAGTAATTTCAAAGGAAAATAACGAATAAATTTATGCAAATGACAAAATAATACTAGAAAATCAGATAATTTTTTTAAAATTTTTAAGAATTTGTCTACCACAATTTTTTTTTAAAATTTTTTCCTGTACAAAACAGTAAAAAGTATTGTTGTTAAATCTTAAACTAATAGTCTGTTTGCATTAATAAAACATTAAATTAAAATTAAAATTAAATCGCTCGTTTAAATATGTAAAAATATATGAATTTTGATTTGGTTCATATTTAAATGCATTTTAAATTAAAATTTTTTTATAATTTAAATTTTTTTACATTCTAATCATTTAAAATTATAATCACTCAAATATTTTATTTTTTTCATACTTTTATTATTAATATATTTATGATTATCATATTTTTTCATCTTTTATTAATAAAAAATAAAAATAAATTCATCATTTTTAATTTTTTTATTTTCTTTTCATTTTTTGGTTCATTTATATTTTCATTTAAAATTTTTTAAATTACCTAAATAAAATATTCAAAATACATAAATTTAAATTTAAAATTAAAATCCATAAATTCAAAGGCTACATAAGATATTAATAATAAAAATAAAGTTATTAATGTAAACAAACACAGTTATTGTATTATTAAATCAAAATTATGACTAATTGCATTATTGATACTTGAATTGAAATTGTTAATAATTAAATTAAAATAGTTAATATAAAAAATATACTTGTTATTGCATAATTAAAGCAACAAATTTATTTTAGGTATTAACAATTATATTTTTTATTATTTTTCTTAGGGTCAAAAATATAATTTTACAAACATAACTTTACCCGGTAAAAGGCATAATTTTATAAAAATCATGATAGGTAAGTGCTTAGGAATTTCAAAGTAGTTACCACATTTTGTAATATTTATTTATTATTTTCTTATATTTTGATGGGATTTATTTGGTATATTTTTTAAATGTTTTTTTCAACTTTTCTCTTGGACATGATAACCCGTGTTGAAAAAAATTAACGCATATATATATATATATATATATATTTACTTATTTTATTCATTTTTAAAATTTTTTAATTATATAAACATATTTATTTAATAGCACTTTCTAAAATTTATATATATAAATTGGCCAAAATAATATTCCAAACAACCCATTACAAAAACTTAATGAAATGAACATTTAATATAATAAATCTCAACATAAGTTATATTTAAATTTTAAAATTCGATTAATTTCAACACAAAATTTTACATTATTTAGTTAACTATCAACATAATATGTAAAATTTTTAAAATTAGGAGAGAGAGTAGACAATTAGATTATAAGGTTAAAATAATAATTTTAAATCTTCAACATAATTACAAAATAAAAATTTAGTAAATTAAGTATTTTTGAATTTTTAATAAAATATTTCTAACGGTATCAACAATTAAATTAAAGTATATGTTTTGAAAATGAAGAGTAGATTTTTATAATTTAAACAAAACTGAAAAAGATAACTCGGTGTTTTACTCTATTTAAACTAATTGTACTTTACCTTGAGAACTTCAATCCAAAGACAATTCTATTAGTAAGCAGCCCCTAACACGATTTCATTATAGCACTTAACTGCAAATGTTAGTTCAATAAAGATAATAATATTCTTGTAAAACCATTAAATTAAAATATTAAAAAAAATCATTGTGATCCATTCTAAAATTAAAATGAAACGAGTTGTTTAAGTAAGAAAAAATGAACGAAGGGTTAACCCTTAAATAATTAAACAAAAAATTTAAGAATGTCTTAACTTAAACTCATTTTTAATATAATATTTTTTAATTTTAAAAAATAATGTAATATTGTCCCTATTGAGTATAGGGAAACTAAAAAAATTGAGGTCAAAATGCATTTAAGCATTTTTTTCTACATTGTATTATAAATTAAACAAGATTAAAAGAAAAAAATGTTCATAAACTTTTATTTTAGGGTAGCTAGTATCTTTAAGTGAATAATGATATAAAGTATCTATAAAGTTATTTTAATGGATCCATCAGCCCCTAAATTGTTAAATAAGTTTAACTTTGATAGTTTAAGTAATAAGTAAGTAAATGATAGATTAATTTTGCTGACATAGTTGAATCACATTTTTTCCTTCTTGGGAATTAGTTTTCTTGCTCATCCCATGTGCTCATTTTTTAGATGAGATTTGGACCAGATGGCCCAAATTTAAAGTATTATTATTATATTATTATATATTATACTTATTATAAAAATATTTTTAATAATTTTTTATTTTTAACTTGGTCTAAATTTAATTTAAAGGTCTAGTTTGCTAGATTTAAAATTATTTTATGATTTTTGTAAATTTTTATAATAAATATAATATTTAATAATATTTTAAATCTGAACTATCTGATTAAAATGCAGAAATGAACATGAAAACTGGACCCTCCTTCCTACCGCTTGCAATTCTACTTCCTCTCTCTCTAAACCCAACTCTGACACCTCTCTCTCCATTGCCTTCCTTTTGACGTCAGCCACATCTCTCTTCTTGGCTCTCGCCCTCTCCCCTCTTCAAAGTTAAGCTTCTCTTCCACTCCAACTAGATTGTCTTCTCTAACCCAAGTAACTTCCCCCCCCCCCCCATCTTTCATGCTGAATTGTTAAAGTCAATGGCTAGACATATTTGAATCAATCACAATTCGAGCAAAATTTATTTAAATAAAATTTAAAATATTTTATTATATAAAAAAAATTTATATAATTAAGTCTGACTTTAATCTCTCAAGCTTTCAAGTTGATTTGAATATTTGAATTGTTAAATATTATTTTATTTTATTTTTTATTTATATCTAATTTTAATTCTATTTTAAAAAATTAATTTTTTTTAAATTTTTATATTATTTTATTAATAATAAATTTTTGAGTATTCAAACTAAATTCATTTAGGCTCTTGCTTGGCTAAAATTTATTCAAGTTTATTTGAACAGTTTAAATAAATTTGAAGTAAAAAAAAAATCTTTTAATTCTAAGCCACGACCTTAAATTTTTTAAGTTTATTCAAAATATCATATCAAACTTAGCTCAAATTATGTCTTGCTGCAATTCAAAACTAGAAAAATGGGATCAGGGCAGGGTGAGGATTGGGTAATGAATGGAAAAGAAGAAGGGGAATAATGGAGAGGTCCTGGTGCAGAAAAATGACTTCTCTCTCCCGTTTCAGATTGTCTCTTCTTTGACCCAAGTAACTTCCCCTCTCTCCCCCCCACTCATCTCGGAGGCTTCCAACATTTGAAAATGGTCATCGACCAATTTCTTAGGACCTGAGACGATGATGGATGTGACTCTCCTAGGAGTGATTTTATTCTTTGTTTCTTCTAAGAGATATAATTACTATGAAATCTGCGTGTGTTGTGAAGTGGATGGGGGGAGTGTGGAAATTCGGGGCTTCGGGTTGTACGAACCAAGAAATGAGAGACGGCCTGATGCAAGTTGCTTTTTACCCGTACTAGGCAGGGGGGAGAATTTTTTAATTCTATTTATAAAACGCTTCAAGATTATTATGTGCATATTTATTATTTTGTCTTTATTAAATGTAAAAAAATTTATTAAATATTAAAATATTTTATTTTAAAATGAGTATATTTAATAAGAATAATGTTAAAAAAAATTTAAATTTTTAGATAGAATTAATGAGATTTAAAGTTTTCTTTAATTTCAATGAAAATACTAAAAATAATTTATAAATAGGATTAAAAGGAGTATGCCTATTTTTTTTTAATTTTAACACATATTTTTTTAAATATTTTCACATTTAATTATTCAAAGTCCTTTAAATTGGGGGATGAGAGAGTAGACAATTAGATTATAAAGAAAATTAATAATATAAAGTTTTCAACTAATTACAAATAAAAAATTACATATTTTAGAACATTTAATGAAATATTTCTCAATGTTAAAATTGAACTAAGATGCAGATTTTGATAATAATAAAAAATGTAATTTTAGCAAAATGAAGGGGATGTTATTTTATTTTACCTAATAAAAAAAAGTGCACATAAAAGCATTAAAAAAAAAAATGGTAGCCTTTCCATCCTTCTCTCGACAAGTGAAAGGATATCCTCAATCGGGTGGCGTTTATACTATGGGGATGGTTCAAATGGGTTTGATGGTTCGATACTAATTTATATAGATAGAGCCTAGAGGCATAGCCACCTCATATAAGTATGGTTTTCTACACAGTAAATGGTGATCCATCCTTGTTCATCTAATCCACATCTCACTACCGCAATTCCCAGATATTTTTAATACATGTGGATGATATTTAGATCATGGAAATTCAACCCCTTATATTCACATGTACAGAAAATTTTGCAGGGAAGCATTTGGGCAAGCTGCAATATTTCAAAGCATAGAACAAACAGCTTGAAATATGGAAAAATGCTTCTACCTTAGACAAAGTATATTTCGGATCTCCAGGCCAAGGTAAAAATGGAGAACTCAAGGGACTGATCACAACAATGACTAGTGATTCAAAGTTATCGAAGTAGCAACATAATGTAATGATTGATTCTCAACTTTATAAGTCTATAGTGGGAGCTTTACAGTGTGTGGCCGTCTAGCCCAGAGATCTCTTCTAGCACTAGCAAAGTTAGATCATGCAACAATGGAAGACTGTGAAGAGGATAATAATAAGGTACCTCTAAAAGGAACCGTATCCCGTGAAATTGATCATGACCAAGTCCAATGATTGATGATCTTACTTACATGGGATTTTGTATGCAGACTGGTGAAACAATCCTAATGATTCAAAAATCAACTTCTGCTTCTTGCGTATATTATAATGTAATATCATAGGTAACCAAGAAGCAAAATATGGTTGCTAGACCGAGTACAATACAAAAGTTCTGCAAATGCTATGCTATCATCTGGTTATAAACACTGATGCATGAATTGGAATGTCCAACGTTGAATAAAACACCTGTAATTTACAATGGCAGTCTAAGCACCGTAATGTCACCACATAATCCTATCTTCCAAAACAGAATGAAACATCTAATATAAAATACAGTATTATTGGAGTTTCAGCCAGCTCAAAACAATTTTGCTCTCGGAGAACCAATAATTCATGGATGCCAGATGACTCAAAAATAAAAGGAGTTGATGATTTCCAATGTCACACTCAATTTGGTTGGGAAAGTGTCTTGTGTCATTTTTTTTTAATTTTATTATTATCTACAAGTATCTTCCTATTAAAACAATCTTGTTTGAGGCACTGTTAAGTAAAATATGAATACCTCTCCCAACAGGGATTGAAACCTTAATTTGCCACGTTGTGAGGCACTAACCCCTTCTACTAGATCTAACCCCCATTGATTCTTGTGTCATTTTATCATATCAAAGATTATGCTATTATATTAAAGGAAACTAAGAGTGAACATAAGCCTAAATCAGAGAGTTGCCAATGGGCTTATCATTCACGAACACTGTATAGAACACACTAGAATTTCCAATTCTTTGAATTGGGAAATTTTGGAAGCACTAGAGTATTTACTTGCACTGTATCTATAATAGAATATTATGAAGTATGAATACTTTAAAAAAGTAAATGTATCCATATTTGTATCTAATGTGCATCCGATACAATATTTGTAAGATATTTCTACATACGTATTCCATAACATTTGTAATGTGATTTTTTTTCAATAATTTTTTACTATATCACTTAAAAAATTAAAAAAAAAAACTTATGATCTGTTTGGTTCACAGAATGAGTGAAAATAAAATGTAATGTAATGTTGATTACATGATGTTTGTTTGGTATGACTTTAAGAAAATATATTTTTTTTATATTTAATAAAGTACAATCTGATGTTAAAAGATCATAATATCCTTAAGCAAATAAGGAAATTCCAATACTCCTATCGTTCTTTTTCCCTCTCCCAGGTGCAAATTACACAATCATACCCCCGATACAAATTTCACAAACACACCCCATCATTATCTTCCTCTTCCTTCTAGATTCATACTTTGCAAAACATAAATAAGAAGCATCGAAGAGGAACGTGATATGGCTGTCATCTTAGGCAAAGGCTTCCATTGATGAGATCAAAGGCCAGGGATCATAGACCATGGAGGGAGGTCGACGACCTTGACGCCGATGATAGTGACGGTGCGATGGGATGCCGACAAGTATAGTGAAGGTGTGCAGTCAGAAGGAGAGGGAGGTAGGTATGAGTGAATGAGGAGGGTATTGTGATAAAAAGGTGGTGGGAATGGGGATTACATAGGTCTAATAATATAATCCTCATTACAACATTTAAGGTAATTTCCTTTATATAATGTAATCCTCATTACATTACCTTGCACCGACCAAACATTGTGAATGGGGGAAATGCATTAGGATTACCTGTAATCTTGATGCAAGGAATTCAACCAAACGGGCCATTAATATATTGATTGATTGTCATAAATATCCATATATTATATTAGAAATTTTTGTTTAAAAATCAAAATACCTATGCCTATATCATAAAATGTTGAAATATATATTATAAATATTCTCATACCCGAATTCTAAAATTTTAAAAATTTGCCGTATCACTGTATCATACAGTATCATATTGGATACTCGTACCCGTATCAATACAGCCTAAACTCAACCTTAATTTGCTATTATTGATTTTCTAAAAATATTTTGATTTTCTCATACTAAACCAAACCACCACCCATACCAATGAAAGCAACAAAGAAATTGTCAATTAATGACGGTTTATTTTTGCTTCCATGTCATATAATGACAGGTGTTTGATAAAAAATCCAGACACTGAAGAAGTCTAGTTGCGGCGCTACAATAACAGATATTCACAGTACCAATATCAGTAACTCAGCATATAAGTGTGTCAATTTATGCATGATCTAGAGTCCCCTTATCCATATCAGAAAGAAAAAAACAAAAAACAAAGAATTATCATTGTATAAATCCATAATACTAAAGAAGTCTACCCGTAGACTGCAATAACACATGACATTCACAGCCCAACATCAGTTCCACAGTGGATCACGTGTCAATTTTTGCATGTCCTAGAAAATTCATCTCAAAGCCACCAAGAGAATTTTGCTTTATATAAAATAAGCTTTTCTTTCTTGTAACACGAAAGAAACTAACATGATTGCTTTTCTTCACTGGCCGTGCAGACATGGGAAGAAACAAAAAGATGAGAATTGTTTCATTATCAACTAGAGTACCAAAATACAAAGTTGCTGTAGCCATTATTACTGGCTCATCTCGGTGTAAACATAAACTGGCTCATCTTGAAATGTGGCAGTCAGAGTACACTAAAGTTGGCCTTGACTCCAACGTGCCATGCAAGAAGCAGACATATTGAGCTCCATTATCAGTTTAATCAAGAGAACACAAGCACACTCCTCAATCTTTTCTCTACGGTCAGAAACCAATTTTCAGATCTAATCTCTTATTCCCTTCTTTCTACTCTTCTAATTCCATGCTTCTTATCCAACTTCTTTGCTTTCCAAGCTTTAACATCTACGGCTTGAATGGGGAGATGCTGCTATTCAGAGGATATGGCAGATTTACAGAGTCAGGAAAGGGACACAAGGTGAGGGGGTTATTTTGAAGGTTCTTATTTTCTTTTGATTCATACACAAATAGATCATGACGAGTAAATAAGATCTACAAAACTCGAATTACAATGCATATCATTCAAATTAGAGTTGTAATTGTAGAGAAATTTTGCCAACTCAACTATAAAGTTACAAATGTTAACTGAGAAAAATGGCATCAGAATTGAAACTCCCATTCCTTCCTCTATGCTGACTCTTGTAAGCTGCTAATAATGCCTCTACATCATAGCTAAACTTGAAAATATACTCCTGCAAGAATTTCCCCTCCGGCAATAGTAGCACTTTAAGAAAACTTGGATTCTTCTTATGTAACTCTTTTGAGATTAGGAGTTGCAAAACCCTCCATCGAGGAATCACCCTTTTCTCCAAGCTTAACGTCAAAATCACAGGGTTCTTAACAAGCAGTGACTTAGGCAGCATAATTTTACCCAAGCACGCTTGAATTCCAAATTTTAGATTCTTCTCAGATCGATGAAGCAACGAGGGAGCCTTTCTAAGCATTTGCATGGTCTCTTGTTTAGAAAACCCGCAACTCTGAATTGACTCCAACTTTTTGTTAAACGTATCAAAGCTTAAGCCACTAATTGCCAGGACCGCATGTACCAACATTCTTGAGTGTATGCAGAAACCCATGTTTACAGCCCGTGAAACATAGCTTCGAAGCACGGACTCTCGCATGACAAAAAGGCGAGCATGTTGTACGCATAAATGTGAAAGCTGAGACCCAACGATCCCACAACTCTGGAAGAAAGAAGCATTGCGCAAAATCTTTCTGTGGTCTTTGATTATCCAACTCCCATCTCTGCGAAGCAACTTAATCAAATCTTCCTCTACATTAACTATTTTCCTAATAGCCCCCACAGAGGGCACCAACGTTTTATTCAAACTCAACATCAAAAAAATTGGATTCTTGGACAGAAGCTTAGCCAATTCAGAGCCCTGAAACCCTAGCAGCTTAAGGTACTCAATTTTCGGCTTCAGGGTTTCATCGACACGCAAGAACAATATTTGGGGTTGAACACCAATCATGGACAGAATCTGCGATTCAGAAAGTCCAATCTGTTTCAAATAATTTACCGCTGTCCTTGGATGCGGAGGGCACCTAACCTGAGATAGTCGTTTTGAGAGTAGTCGAACTGAGATTTAGAGAATTTGAAATTGGTGTTTAGGTAATCAATGATGGAAATGTGTTCTGCTGAGGCTTGGGTCAGGGAAGAAACAAGAGTAGAGAACCGAGAGAGAAAGGATCTCGACAAATTGTTGATAGAATATAATTGCATTGCTCTACAACAATGCAAACTCATTCTCAAGAAATACCCTGATAACTCCGAAAATGGCAGAAGGAAAGAGAATATATCTACCTTAATTCAAGCATTGGGCATACCTCAAAGAGAGATTGGACTTGAAGCTTGAGTGGCAACGAGATGTTAGTTTGCATTGCAATGCGAAGGGCCTCGGATTTGCGACGCATTCAAATTTCTCAATTTCTGATTTGGAATCGAGGATTTTGCGCGCCTTCATTTGAGTATTTTTGGTTTTTGATACACTCATTTGAGCTCTTCGAGCTGAGGTTTAATGTTTCCGAAAGCAAAAATGAGATTGACCTAAAAAAAACAAAAATGAGAGCATCAAGAATGTTTTTTGTATTAAAATTGCAAAACAAAAATTAGAATAAATTTAAGTTTATAAATTAGTGTTAGGATAACAGTTAGTAACTTTAACATGATTTATATATAGATAGTTTTTTTTTAAATCAATTTGATAAACATAAACTTATTTGAACAATAAAATAAAATAAAAAGTTTAGATATGTAATCACAGAAAAATATATGAATTTTAGAAAAAATCGCACTAGAATCCTGTGTAGCAATTTTGTTGCAAAATTATTAAAGGATTCTGATTTTTACATTATTTATGGGAGAATTAAATGTACTCCTCTAGTTCTATTCATTGAATAGAGAAAAAAGATTAATTTTAATCTTATCATCGTTATCATTATATATATTAATAGTTTTATGTTCATGTCTTATGTGATTTTGTGCTTAGGAATCTAGGTTTTGTTGTTAGTTTGTAAATAGATTCGGATTAAAGTTTTAAATATTTATAAATAAATTTGAAGGCTAGTCACAATATATATGTGTATATATATATAACATATATATTTATATATGTAAGTTTACTTTAAAATATGATTTTAAATATTTATATTGATGGATTAACATCTTATTTTATGTAATCAAATTTTATCTTATTTAATTTGAAGATGTATTGACTTAAATTTTAAAGATGGATTCAATTTAAATTTTGAAATTCAAAGTTACTCATAATAATTATTTATACTAAATATAATTTAAATTTTGAAATCTATTTCAATTATTTAAATTGATATCATGTATAAAATATTTTAATGAGAGGTTGTGAGAAAATTATTAAATTGACTAACCAATACTTATTTTAATATGCAGTTATTTAATGCCACATGTTATTTTGTGTATATTTTAAATTGTGACATGTGCCCCTTTTTGAATACTCTAAATCAATATATTCTTTTTTCTATCTGTCTAAGTTTAAAAAAAAATATGGTTGATAATATTTAACATAATTTCATAGATCTTAAAAAATTCTACTTGAATTTTAAAACTTTAACCAATACAGTCATGAAGATTTATAATTTAAATAAAATTATCAAATTCAAATCAAATTTTTCTTTCATTTAGATATTATACCAATTACAAATAAGTGACGCTGTCTACTATTTCTTTTCACACTTACGGATTTGATTAAGGGTTAAAGAGTAATGTCATTCTAAATGCTAAAAAAATTAATTTTAAATGTTAGTTGAACAAAGAAATTATTGTAAAAGATCTAAAATATAGACAAGGACCAAAAAAATACAAAAAGGACCAAGAAAATTTTCTCTGTCTCTTTTCTATAATTTTTTAAGTTTTTTTTTAATTTTTTAGTTAACTAACAATCAAAGTTATCATTAATTAACTATCGGGGTAATATTATACTATTTTCAAAGCTTGAGGGGGGACATGACACCAAAAATAAATTTAGAGTATCAGATGCTTTTGGACCTATAGTTCAAGAACAAATTTATAATTTAACCCTTTAATTAATTTAGTAAAATCCTTGAGTTTTTTTTACATGACTGATTTATATAAATATAAGATTTTATTTTAGTATTCTTCCAGTGATTTTATATTTTGAAAATCAAGTTTGATGGGTAAGTTTTGAATATGTTTAAACTCAATTTTTAAGTATATGTATATAAAACAAAAAAACTATGGTTATAATATATCTTCTAAAAATATATTTTTTTATCCATCTTCATCTATAGTTAAATCTTTACAACTCAAATTATTGTCAAATATTAGAATTTGATAAACTTTCATAAAATTCAATAATTTCATAAGGTTAAGATATTGATTGTTTTTTGTGTAAAGTTTGAAATTTAAAAATAATCAAAATTTTCCATTAAATAATGTTATTTATATTTGCTTATTAAAAATAGTATTAATTAATTTAATGTTATTTTACTTAACTAATCATTTTATTTAATTAGTAAATATTGAGATTTAAAATTTAAATATGTTATCAAAATAAGTTAAAAATGTAAAACATATCGACCAATTTAATGTACAAAAAATTATCTTTAAAATATATCTTTGATAAGTTAATTCTTTCAAATTAATCATAACTTTGAGGAGTATTTAAAATTTTGGCAATGCTATAATTTGAGTAGAATAAGTTAATACTATTGTTCAATATATTCAACTACTTTAGATTGCCAATATAATATAGTTAATAATAAAAAAACTTTAAATTCTTAATAAACAAAGTATTTAAGTTTAAAATTTGAATTTTAAGCTAGATAAATTAAAATTTCAATATATGATGATTAGAAAATATTTTCAATTTTAATTTGAATTTTTATCCATGTATATATTATAATAATTAAAAAAAAAGAATACATTGACTTCTCATCTAATTTAATTTATTTAAATATACATCCTTTTTATTTTTAAACATACACAAACCTTTCCTAGAATTAATAATTAATAGTTTTAAAAAAAAATCTCCTTTATATTTTAAAATTTTTATTTCCATTCACCCAATTGTTAATTGACTATTAAGTCATATATTGGATCAAAACAACCTATTTAAATGTAGATGTTATCTAGCAACCATCCAATATATCTAAAAAAGTTTAATGCACATATTTTTTAAATATTTTATTCATATTTTAAACTTTTTAGTTTTGAAAACTTATTTTTAAATTATTTTTTTAAAATATAAATACACAAGTTGTCTAAAATAGTATTTTAAACATGTATATATAAAAAGCTTGATGAAATAAGGAAGTAATGTGTAATGAAAATAAATTAGTTAGTATAATTTATGTTTATTTTTCTTTAAATTTTATTAGTTTGATCACAAAATTTCTAAACTACTTATTTAAGATTTTCACATTTAATTATTTAAAGTTCCTTAACTTGAGGAGGGGACAAAATATGCAAATACATTACAAGGGAAAATTAATACTTTTAGATTTTTTTAATATAATTAAAATTAAAAAATTAAAGTAATTTAAAATCTTTAGTTGAATATTCCTAATAGGGCTAAAAATTGGATTAAGGTGTAGGTTTTAAAATCAAAAGGGAGGTTTGTGTAATTTTAGCAAAATGGAGGGAGAAGATTGTATTTTACTCTAATTAAAATATATGGCATTGGCTACCATTTCATTCTATCTATATATTATACTAACTAAATAAAGAAGATTTCTTTAACAAAGTGTTGGAACAAAATGATAAAGATTGGAAGAGGAAGGATTGAATAAACAATAAAAAATTATAAGCGGGTTAGCTTGCAGGTTGACAGGCTTGAGTTAAATGGTGTGAGTCAAAACTAGCCAACATCTAATCGAGCTTTTGATTATGCAACCTAACTTGCCACTATTTGGCAAAGATTGACCCATAAGCTTAACTCATATTACTAGCTTTAATTGAAATTAAGAAAATACTACAATCTAATGGGAAAAGTCCCTGAGATTATGAGCTTATACTTTTACTTAACATGTCAGGTTTGGATGCAAGTGGAAACAAATTAATGAGAAATGAACTAAATTATGATAGGGTTGCATTATATGATGAATTGATAAGATTGCTTTAGAGTTTAACTTTCGAGAAAAAGAAGATTTATGATGATGCCACTGAATATGATTAAGGAGATGTTTTTTTCATGTATGGATATGGTGGTGTTTGGAAGACATATGTTTGGAGAACACTTTTTGCTTCATTAAGATTTAGAGGTAAAATAGTTCTCAATATAATATGAAGTGGGATAGCCTACCAGGAGGACATACAACTCACTCAAATTTTGCATTCCTCTTTCTATGACTGAAGACACTATGCATAGCATGAAACATAAGAGCAACCATGCTAAATTATTATTTCACATATCATTGATCATATGAGATGAGACTATAATGGCACACAAGTTTTGTCTTGAAGCTCTTGATAGATGCCTTAAGGATATTCTAAAGTTAAGTAGCCTATTATCTAGTGATCTTTCTTTTGAAGGAAAAGTTGCTATGTTTAGTGGAGATTTTAGGAAAATTTAGCCTTCCTGTTATTTTAGGTGGGTCAAGAGAAGATATTGTTTTTGTAACTATTAACTTTTTATTTTGGGACAATTGTCAACTTTTAACACTAACAATACACATGAGACTTCTAGAAACAAATAACAGAGTATCTATTAGTGTTCTTTAGACTTTTGCTGATTAGATTATCTCAATTGATGATGAAACTGTTGCTATAACTAATGAAGGATTTATGGATATTAAGATACTAGCTGATTTGTTACAAGATGATTAAGATAATCATAAAATCTATTATTAATTCAATTTTCCCAAATTTCCTTGCCAATATATAGAATTCTTCATATTTTAAAGATAGGGCTATGTTAGTTCTTATGTAGGTTGTAACTGAAGAAGTAAACAAGTACATGTTATCTTTACTTCATGAGAGAAAGTTGTATACACGAGCTTTGATAGTGTTATTAAACATGGTGGAGATATGAATTTACTTAATGACTTGCACTCTACACATTTTCTAAATTAAATTATAATGTCAAGCCTCTTGAATTATCAAATAAGGCTTAAAGTAGGTACACCAATTTTAATGTGAACCAAAACATTGATAAGTTTATAGATTATGCAATGATACACATCTTATAATTACACAAGTTAGAAAACATGTTATTGAAGCTCAATAAATGTTTGGATCAATCGCATGGATGAAAGTATGTATACCAAGTATTGCTATGTGTCTATCTGATTTAAGGTTGTCATTTATTATGATAAGGAAGTAGTTTCTCATTATGTTAGGCTTCGCAGTGCCCATTAATAAGAGCTAGGATTTGATCCCGTGTCATATTGGTTTGTACATAACTCATCCTATTTTTCACAAACGACCAATTA